CTGCATGCAATACGCTGCATTATAACCAGGACTATTTTCTTGAGTGCACGAATGTTTGTTTGTCCCGTTAATACTGTTGCGAACACAGAGAAACGTACAACACAAAAGCTAATGATAGAAACGAATACTCTTTTTTTCCAATTTTCATTCCTCATTAAAGATAAAAGAATGCACACATTAACCCTTCATGTGTTTTTTGAAAACCAAAGCACATGAAGGGTATACAACCAAACACATGTAGGCCTACACACACACCTCTAGGAAAACAACAAGTCACCGTAGGCATATTTTAAAAACTACTTCAAATCCATATTTAATCTATGAAAATTAAATAACAAACGTATAGGCCTAAAGCTTTACAGGAAAAAAGGCAAAAATTATAGGCTAAGCTTACCTTAATGAAGAAAATCACAGAATTATACAAAAAGTACAGTAGAGAGTGACGAAGAGGATCCGTCATGAACTTGTACACAGAGACCTGCAGATGATAGAAATGTACAGCCCGGATTGTTGAATCCGACGCTATCGCAATGGACTTTATCCACAAAAGGTGCTTGGCCTTATAGTATTATGCACCAAACACGCCACCGCCTGAATTAAAGCATAGACCATAGTCTGATGTGATATTCAGGTTTAAGGGTAAGTTGACCACTACCTTCGACGTAATCACTCGAATGATCTAAAAACGAACCAAGCCTGTGGGCTGTGGTTGCATGCATTTTATTTCATTAACTACGACTTTTTGTTCTATTCATTCTGTTCAAGGCTCCCCCACCCCCGTTAAGTAAGATTGCCAGGTTGTTGTTTAATAATTCCATCCCATGCAAATACCTTTTGTCAACTTAAATCGATTTATAAGTACCCCTTGCACTGAAATTGACCAACTTGTGGTTTGCGAGTATACAATCTCCCTCTGACCCTCAGTGGCCCTCTATGGACCTTACCCCGGTGACTCTAGCCAGTTGACCCAAATACATTCACTCAAATTCCATATTGTTGCGTTCCTTAAATTATAGCAAGTCGATGGTAGCACGGACTGTATTAGTGTCTACGGGAAGTGATATTTGGGGTCAACAATTTACTAAAAGGTGGACGTGAAACAAGGGGTTTGGGTGACAGTCAAACTGTATGGTTGGTTTATTGCTCTCACTTCTCTTCATCTAAGTTCAATGTGGATTTGAAGAAGGTGTAGCTTGACATAATAAAACGCACAAAAGGCAAAGTTACAGAAAGGCGAAGTTGTGTACGAGTGTGACTAAACTACGGTTCGGCAGGACCATTGAAAATTCAAGTCAGATAGAGTGGGTTACGGTACGCGTGTGTAGCATCGCACAGCTAGGCTACACTCATCAGGCCGGGCCGTGGTGGGAGCTGTCCCAGACCACCACGGTGACTAGCAAGGGCTGGACGGGGCCAGCGCCGGTATGTACCGACCGCACTGCCGCTCAGACCGCAATGTGTTGAGCGCAATGATAAGATCGCTGCACTGTGTACATGGCTCAGCGTAGAGACGGGAAAGACTGGGCTAGTTAGCAGGACAAGGGTGGCGAGGGACACGGGGGTGTCTCGCCCGGCAATCGGTTCGGACGTAGCGGTGATGGGCCGCTACGACTCTCACTAGCACCCTGGGATAATTCGTACCGCTCTCGCATCGGTCCAAGCTAAGCTAGCGCGTCACTCATATGGTTACATTTCTTCGCCATAAGAATGGTTACTATCGCACTTCTCTCGGTAAGGGTCCAACGGCCGCACTACGTTAGGTTCCGTTCTCGCAACAAGGGTTTGGTCCGCGCACCTGACCGACGAGCTAAGGAAAATCTGCTCTATTTATAGGATTCTAGAGGCTTAGGAATTAATAAAATACGAGTGTCGCTGAACAGCTCAATCAATGAAAATCTTCCATCTCAAAGGGTCACATGCCTTCCTGCTAGAGTCGTGTGCAAGAATCTAAGTGTCGTGTGTAAAAAGGTAAAATACAGAATAAGAAGTCACGTGTATAAAGTGTAGAGCCTGGTGCGTGAAAGTGCTATAAAGGAGAGAAGGAACACAAGATCACGCCAGAGTACAGCATGAATAACTTAATACAAAATTAGCGCCTCTGCTACATATCCATAATGCAAAGCTGAGCTGCATAAGAGACCCTGAGAAATGCAAGGACCGAGAACGAGTAAACTAGGGGCCGCTAGAATTCCAAGATTTGCGAAAGCGCAACACTATTCCCCCTCGAGTTTTTACAACGTCCTCGTTGTAAATGAAGCAAATAGAGTCTTTGTTCAAAAGTTGATAAAGTTCACGAGTAGTCCATGGAAGCTGTAGAGTTCATTGCAGTATAGAAAAAACACTT